GATTCCGCGGTACTCCTCTCGTCTAGCTGGAGTACCGCAGTCGACGGCGAGCACTTCCGGGTTCGACTTATCGCGTCCAGACAAGACGCGATAAGTCGAACCCAGAAGTTCGATTGCCAGCCGCCGAACTAGCGGCTGGGTATAGACGTACCCCAAGTGACTCAAGTAATGGAACTCCCACAGCTTTCCTTAAGGATACTGATCCATAGTCTAATAGAAATTCACTGTTTGGAAATATTTTCAGAGACAGCATTTCCCCCTTTTTCAATTTCATCCCTGCTAATACTCCATTACGATATAAGACAGTTTGATTAAGATGGTGTAATCAAGTCATTTCCCTCAAATGCTTCTAACGTTTTTCTGTCTCTCTTGCTTTATCTCACTAGATTTCACCAGATTTTCTACTGAAGAGGCAACAGCAGAAACAGCTGGTACGTCTCCTTTTGAAAAACAAGATGATTTAGTTTCCTAGAGACCTCAGAAAGTCATTGAGTCTCGTGGAAGTATCTTATGGTCCCTAAACCACTCCACTATTAACGATATTCAGCACTACAAGTCCTGTACAAAGATTAACTAGTGAATACTCCCAATCCCCCCATGAGGAAAAGGACCATTTGAAATCTTCTTGCACTTCTGTGCTCCCAAACTCAGTCCATTGAGAAAAAAACAGAAAAAAAAAAGATTCATTTCCCTCACATGTGCCTCAAAATTTTTACCATCTGCTGTTGGTTTCTGTAGACTTCACCACTTCTTACACTGAGGAGACAACGGCAGAGCCAAAGGGTGAGTCCATTCCTTTAATGAACCTTCAGAAGTTTGTCTAGCTTCAATGCCCAAATCATCTCTAACAGTTCAACACCAAGTATTAACTTGACATTATTTAGTGATGGTGATTCCACCTCTTTCCCTGGAAACCACACCCACTGCTAGAGTTGCCAGCTGTCCGATTTTCAACCAGAACACCCGGTCGAAAAGGGACCCTGGCAACTCCAGTTGGCACCGCCGACTGGGCTGTTAAAAGTCTGGTCTGCAGTGCAGCGGGGGCCCGGGGCTAAGGCAGTCTCTCTACCTGCCCTGGCTCGGCATGACTCCTGGAAGCAGCCGCCAGATCCCTGTGGCCCCATGGCGCATAGGCAGCCAGGAAGGCTCCGCGCACTGTCCTTGCGCCCGCAGGTGCCACCTCCATAGCTCCCATGCTCAAGGTAGGAGCAGCGCATGGAGCCTCCCTGGCCACCCATGTGCCTAGAGGCCGCAGGGACCTGGCGGCCGCTTCCTGAGAGCCACAGTAAGCACCACCAGGACCCCAAACCCCCTCCCGCATCCCAACCCCCTGCCCCAGCCCAGAGTCTCCTCCCACACCCAAACTCCCTCCCAGAGCTTGCACCCCACACACCCCCAGCCCTGAGCCCCCTCTTGCACCCCATACCCCTCATCGCTTGCCCCACCCCAGAGCCCACATCCCCCCATACCCCAACTCCAGCCCAAAACCCCCTCCTGCATCCCAAACCCCTCATCCTTGCTCCACCCCAGATCCCGCATCCCCAGCCCAGAGCCCATACCCCTCCTGCACCCCAACCCCCTGCCTCAACCCGCAGCTCCCTGCTGTACTCTGAATCCCTCGGCCCCACCCCACAGCCTGAAGCCTCCTCCAGCACGCCAAACCCCTCATCCCTGGCCCCACCTCAGAACCCGCACCCCCAGACAGAGCCCTCACCTCCCCCCCCCTGCACCCCAACCCCCTGCCCCAGCCCGGTGAAAGTGAGTGTGGGTGGGGGAGACTGAGTGACAGAGGGAGGAAAGATGGAGCAAGCGGGGGCAGGGCCTCGGAGAAGGGGTGAAGCAGGGGGTGAGGCAGGGTAGTTCGGTTTTGTGCGATTAAAAAGTTGGCAACCCTACACTGCACCTTGAACTAGTGGCTAGCATATATAATTTTTCCTTTTGTTTTATCTTAGTGCGCTCTACAGCTTAAAGTTCCACTAGAAATGTGGCTTTTTATAAATAACACCTTGTTACTCAACTTACTTGCTCCATGTGCATTTTGAGTCCCATCTGTTAGAATAAGAGCAAATACGACAAAACATTTTCTCCAGTATTAACTGTGAAAAAAATGGAATTTTGTTTGGCTGTGTTCACACCTCTATTGTATTTACTTTCCAAGGCTATCCAACAGGCATGTTCATGGAAATAGAAAATTTTAAGGGCATATTAGAGAAGATTTACAGAAAGCAAAATTCAAATTCATAATTGCAAACATATGCAAAATATATTGATTCTAAGAATTACACTCATTCAGTCAGAGAAGAGAAATAATGCCATGTGACCTCTGTGTCCAATGAAAGTTAACCAACACAGTTTACATTTCAAATATTAAATCTAGAGACTAATCTTCAGAATGAATTGTTATTATTATTCATCTAATAATGAATATATTTAAGAAAATCCTAAACTGCTCATGGACAATTTATGAACAAAGAGGCTTAGTTTGTTGAATAAATGAGTCACTGAGAAGTAGTCAGTCAGTTTGATTTTATTGACAGAAACAAGTGTTTGCCATGGTTAATGCTGCAGGAGAAACTGCAGTTTTGGGAGAGAGGGCTGGAGTCCATTCTGTTTCATGCATCATCAGCAAATTTTCAGCTAAATTCAGACTGTAGAACCTCTAATAATAGATATGATGCAGCAAGAACACATCTAGATTTCCAGATCCTAGTTTGCAGCATGAGCAGGTAGAAAAAATCATTAGACTTAAGTGACCAGAGCTAGGCGGGAAATATTTTTCCCAATCCATGACAATTCTCGCAATTTCAAAAACGTCCTGTTCCGCTGTGGGATGGAATCAAGATTTTTTATATTTTTTACAAGAAAACAGAGGCAGACCACCAAACAGTCAGGTAATTGTGGCAGTCACTTGGGACGTAGGACCACCAGGTTCTTCAAGTTCCTGCTCTCCCTTAGCTGACTTGAAAATAAGTCCCCTACATCCCAGGAGAGTGCCCTAATACCTAGGTTAGCAAGTCAGTTTCTCACTCTTTCTGGCCTAATGAATATTCAATTATTTACATATGCTCTGTAGCCCAGTTGTTAGGGCATTTGCTCATAAGTTAGGCAAGTTGGGTTCAAGTCCCCACTCCCTGTAAACAGCAAGAACTTAAACCTGCTTTTCCCATGTCACTTGTATGCTTGGTGAGTGCCATAATCACCAGACTATTGGAGGATGGGTACCTCTTTGACAAGGAATTTCACCCTGGACCTGTGAAACTTTCCTAGTGAGAGTTCTATTGAAGCCATCCCTTTTGTGAGAAAAGTTTCTTGCTCGATGAATCTGCATTTTCCACTGAAAAACTCTTACACACTGAAAAATTCCCAACCAGTTCTCGCAGTCAGAGGAAATATATGTGAGTCTCACACACGGTCATTTTCCAAGGTGTGATTTTCAGAGTCTAACCACACTTTAACCTTAGCAGGCAGAGAAATGAGAAGAAAATTTCTTGAAAGCAACTAATTGATCTTTTGTGTTGGCTTTCCCTAGATATAACTACTTTTTATACTGAAGACTCAAGCTTACAGGCTACAGGTGAGTCAATCTCAATCTGCATTGTCTTTTGGCATTCCAAATCTAATCATGGAGAAATTCATTGAGACACTTGATTTGTTCTTTGAATTTTCCAATATTTGGATGTTGTTTTATGCTGCTTTTCTAGAGGACCCTGTAACCAGTGTGAGTGGAGAATACAAGACTGGATCTGGTAGGTTAATTTTGTTTTTCCTATTACTGTGCTATCATTATTTCTTTACTCTTCACAATTGAGGTGGCAGTGCTGCACGGGACCTTTTGTGGGAACTGATGCACACAGCTCTACCAGTGCCTCTCAGTCCTGCCACAATACCTCCTGTTATTTCCAGTCTGAGACACCCACACAACTCTGCCAGTGTCCCTAAATCCTGCCCAGCACCTCTCACTATTCCAGTTCTGGACTCTCCACACAGCTCTGCAACTACCCTCCAATTCTGCCCAGCAGTCCCCCTGCTATTCAAGCCTTGGGCTCTTCAGAGGCCTCTGCCAATGTCCCTCAATTTCACCCACAGCTGCTCCTGTTACTCCTTGTAACTTACTACCTAGCTGTGCTAGTGCACCTAAATCCTAACCCGCAGCTGTCCCCTTCTCACTCTGGGTCCAATTGCAAGCTCTCCTGGATGGCCAGTAGCACTGGAGTGCATCAGTATAAACAGATGACGAAGGCCACCAAACTATGAAAAATTCTATGGAAGAGAATGTCATTAATCAACTCTCCTGGCTGATATGCATATGATGTGTTTCTTTTTCTCTAGCTGAACCTACCTCTTTTGTGACTGAAGAAGAGTTCAGTGAGTGTCCTTTGATTGCATGTATTTTTTCATGTCATATTTCATGTCTTTGTGGCGAGCCATACAAGGCTTTTATAGCTTGACAGATGAACCATTTGTAGCTATCTGTGAGATGTGATTGATCATCTCATGGTATTGTTTCTGCTCCTTAGCTGAATGGCTAAAACATTTAAAAGAGAAGAATTCAGACTAACAAACAGCATTTTTAGACAATTTGTGTAACATTCCTGAAGTGTCCAGGTTTTGTGAACATCTTAATAAATCCCCAGTAGACATCAGAATCCTCGTGAATATGACTCTATATATAGCAACAGGATGATGCCTGCCCATTTATTTACCAATTTCTTTTTTCTTTAGTTGAGCAACTTTACTCTGGAAGAAACTTTGGGCTTTACTTCAGAGGGTCTCAACTGGGTATTTCCCAGTATTCGTATGTTCTCTAACTTAGTTACATTGATGTGTAGGACTATCTGCTGGCCATAGGCACCTACATGTCTGGAGCAATTTGAGGGTAAATCAACTATCTCTGTCCTATATACCCTGTTGTATATACCATGTTGTTTCTTTTCTAGAGGAATCCAGCACCAGTGGGAGTGGAGATCTGTGGAGTGAGTACTGTAAGTCACTCTTGCATTTTTCTGTTACTTTGTTATCACAGTTCCCTTCTTTTCTCTTCTTGCTATCAAAGACCCTTATTCCTATTAACTCCTGTTCTCCCTCCCCCGAGTATCGCCATTGTAATTCACTACTGTCCTGCACCACCTCTTGCTATATCAGTCCCGGGCTCCCCACACAGCTCTGCCAGTGCCCCTTAGTCCAGCCCTACAGCATCCTCTGTCCCTGAAGCCTTCTTTCTTCCACAGCTCTGATGAAAAACTACTAAATTCCAGCCGAGACCATAAATCAGAATGACTTATTAAACTTATCCAAATCTTTTTTTAAATCTGCCTCTGGGATTAGCTTGCTTAGTGGCTCCCAGCATCAGTACTTCTCTGATAGCCCCATCAGTTTCTGCAGATTTGTTTCCATTAAAAAAAAAATCTTCTAGCCTTTCTGGTTGTTAATAAAATCATTTTAACGTGCACAGTGCTGTCTTCTTTAGACTTTGGACAGCCACACACATAGCTCTTAATGGTGTGAATTTTACCATTCACCTCTGACCCCTAATAATGACAATTTAAAAGTCAGCATTTTAAACTTTCTCGTTGCTCATCTTTTAAACAAACATCCATTTACTCTGAGACAGTAGGCAGAGTTTCAGATTATGGGCAGGGCTTGAATAGAATACCTCCCCCCCCCCCCGTTTGCCCCTGGTCTGGCCCAAGTTTTTCCGCAAAGTGAAACCTGAAACATATGTGCGTTTTACATAGGATTGTGTTTTGTTTTCAAGGCTTTGCACAGATCTTTTGATTTTCCTAGAATGTTGTTGTTGTTTCTTCCATAGTTGAATCCAGCACCCTCACAAATGAAGCCTATTCAACTGGAACAGCCAGTGAGTTCCCTTTACATTCATTGTTTTATTTTTCCATATGTAATTGTCTTTATCCAACTGGCTCATTGTACCTCTCATTCCCCTAAAAGAGCCACCTGCTAGAATCCAACAGCACAAAGTGACGTGGAGAGGAGATTAAGATGGAAAATTTTAAAGGTGTCAAATGATGCTTTAAAAATTGGGCTTGTGAGCTTTTTCTTTATTTATGAGATATAAAGAGGGCTGAAAGGGTTGTTTGTCTTCTTTTTTTTTCTTGCTTTTTATATCCTTAGCATTAATTCAAGTTTCATCTCCTCTAGTTTGGCTAGAGGAATTCTTGGGGCTCTCAGGAGATGTATATTGTTGGCTTTCCATACCATAATAGAAGGGGAAGCTGGAGGGGCTGTTCAGTCTCTAACAAAGACTTCATTTCTCCAGAATGTTATCTGCTTATTTGAGTTAAATAGACATTAACCAAAACAAAAATAATAAAAATCAAAGTTGTAAACAGTCTGACTGAAAAATCCTTCTCTCAGCTGCACTACTTTCAGTCTCTTGACTCTTGTGTTGCATTTTTACTAATTATCTAGTCATCGTAGATTCTTCCGGCCTGGACTGGACCTGAATTTCTAATAACAACACAAGTGGGGGGGGGGAAGAGTCCTAATCTCTCTAAAAACATACCGTAGAGGCCCTTTTTGTGTTTCAGTGAGAAGGAAAGAAAAGGCACAAGTTCAGTTTTTCCCTTTGTGGATCGCTATAGCAAACTGGCAGTGTTTGCATGGAAAACCCTGTTACTAGGTGCTGATATTTTTGGGAGAGAGTTCTGGGGGTTCTGCTAACTGGTGTTCAGTCCTGCCCCTGCCAAAGTCTGCTAATGCCCCATAATCTTGCCTTGTAGCCTCCTTGCTGCCCTAGTCATGGGCTTCCCAAACAGATCTGCAATATGCTCCTGAATCCTGCCCTGCAGCCCTATGAGGTTTTATGAAGAATTTTTCTTTAAAATAATGCAACCATACATTTCCCTATAATTCTGATGTTCTTTACACAGATGAATCCAGGACCATCTCCACTGACCTATATACGCTGGATGGAACATGTAAGAAGTCTTTTTTTCATGATTTTAATTTAGTTTGCAAACTACAGTTGTCTCTGTCTAAATTATTCCCCATAACAGATGTCCTGGCACCGTCTACCTTTATTCTTTGAAGATCAATAAGCATCAATTGGAATGTAAAAGACCACAAAGGTTTCCTTGCCCTGAGGGGGCATCAACCAAGGGTTTGCCCCAATATTTTTATTCAAGATATACAGAGGGCACAAAATTTGTGATTTAGGAAAATATTGTAGAGATTACCTTTTTGTTTGTGTTTGTACAACGCCTAGCACAGCGGGATCCTGGTGCATGACCAGGGCTCCTAAGTGCTACAGTAATACATGTGATATGTAAAAATAATAGTCATATGAACTGAGGACCTATAAACTTATCACAAGATTCTGATTTAGATTCAGAAAAATGCAGTTCATTAACAGCATATCATAAAGTTAGATGTTGATAATATCTACAGGAGACATATGAGTCACAAGCACAGGGTACTACCAGTGCACCTCAACCCTCACCTGCTGCAATCCCTGCCATTTTAGTCCTGACTCTATCCTGCTCTTCCTGCAACTCTGCAAATGCACCATAGTTCTGACATGCAGAATGCCTAATGTCCCAGTCCTGGGCTTTTCACACTGCTCTGTTGATGCCCCTCAGTTCTGTCCAGCACTTTACACTGGATTGTCCTCAGAGAACCTCATTATAAATTGAAGAAAGGTCATAGCTAGTGAGAAAAGTGGCCCAATAAATTGTAGAGAGGTTCATTGTGAGGAACTGACCCTATGGATTTTCCTGATATTTAAATGTTCTTGTTTTCTGCAGCTGAACCCAGCACCAGTTTGAATGGAGAATCTGTGACTGAGGGAGCACGTGAGTTTTGGTTTCTGGTCTCCTTCTCTGGTGTTGTCCCTGAATACTCTCCAAGGTCCAGATAAATGGTCCCTAGTTGCAGGTTATTTGGGATCCAATGGACTGAATTTGAGGTTCTCTATACTTCTGAGGTTGATCTGGTTGGATGGAAAGAGAGAGGCAGAGGTTGTGGCACCTTGGATGGGTTAGAATCTTCCTAACTGGCTCCTTGCATGGCTTCTTCTTCCAAGCAGATGGGAAATCATAACTGCTGTGAGCTAAAAAATCCTCTCTAGCCTTTTTTGGGGCATCCCCTTTTTCCATCCTCTACCTTTGGGTCACACTAGTCTCCTCTCAGGCCTCTTCTCATTTCCACCTACTTCCCCAGGCACGACAGTGTCCTGTTCGGCTGATCCAGACCTTGAATTTCTCAGTACAGCCTTTGGTGAGGAGAATCCCAGAGAGGTGACTGTTTGGTTTTCTCGTTACAGAGGGATCCAGCAACACCCAGGATAATGTGGGAAGTGAAGACCAGTCCTGTAAGTAAATCCTGCTCTGCCCCTTAGCCTCCAATGCTCTTTCCCATCTTACTCACGAAGTCCTCCCCCACCATTCCCTGAACAAAGGATACCCTAATCCCTCTCTGTGCATGAGCCCTAAATTATAGGATTCTGTGCTAACCAAAGGGACATGTTGCCCCCTTTCCATGAGACATTAAGGCCAACATTTTCAAAAGTGACCACAAAATTTTGGGTCCCAAACGGAGGCAATTAGATTCCTCAATATTGGGAACCTCAGAATGGAGGCACCCAAAATCAGTCACATAAATATAATCTATCTAGCCAAGTTTTTATAACAGTGCCCATCACCATAGTATCTGCAAACCTTGTAGAGCATCCTATAATCAATAAATAGGACCATAACAGAGATATGACTGAGAAATCCACAGCTCTCTGAATACATAGATTAATCTCTTTGTGACCCTAACATTGATTCTTATTTTATACTGAGGGGATTCGTAATTCAGTAGAACTTTCCTCCTTTCTTCTTTTTCTCTTTAGAATATGATGCACAAATAAATCCAGACTGAAGAGGCATAACCCACCTTCCAGTGACATCAGCTTTATCACAAAAACATTTAAGTCTTAGAACTACATAGCATTTAAGATTAGTTTTGTAGGATATTGGCTGTTAAATTCCTAGGAGTATTTTATATTCTGTGGTACTTTGATTCCTATTTGTGTTTTATAATTTATTAACAAGGTGGAAAAAAGGCAGCTCCTGAGTTTTAGTCCCATTCCCTTTTTGTTCCTAGGAATATAAAGAAGATGAGACTTCCTGCAGGTCACAAACAGCTGTTCAACCCAAACTCCTCCAGACTTTTAGGGACTCTTCACTCATAGCTATTCACAGCCTCACATAGGCCCCAGAATCCTCAGTGCTGATTCCCAAGATGTGAAAAGGAAGCTATAGTTATAAGATTTTATACATAAACAGTTGCCTTTAACCCTTTAAAAACTGGCTGTTCATCTGGTGGATGGAACCCAGGCACAGGTTAATAGCTAAGGCTTTTGGGTGGCCACTGGGAGGCACTGTGGGGAGGAAACATTTCTGGCAGCTGATAGATTGTGCTAGGACTCTCCTGACCTGCCTTTTTCCATGATTTACCAGGCCTGAGTTCCTAGTATTAGGGTTACCATACATCCGGATTTTCCCGGACATGTCCGGCTTTTTGGTCCTCAAATCCCCGTCCGGGGGGAATTGCCAAAAAGCCGAACATGTCCGGGAAAATAGGGAGGCTAGGCTAGGGTTACCATAC